GTGGTGGCTCACACCTGGAGTTCCAGATCAGGTGGGGTGACAGAGAATGACCTTGTCTTTACAAAAAAAAAAAAAAAAAATCTAGGTATGGTGGCATGCATGTGTAGTTCCATCTACCTGGGGGACTGAGGCAAAAGCTCACTTGAGCCTAGGAGTTTGAGGCTACAGTGAGCTACAATCATGCCAGTGCACTCTAGCCTGTGTGATAGAGAGAGACCCTGTCTTGAAAAACAAAACAAAACAAAACAACAACAAAAACTTCCATAATAATAATATTGTAATATATATCAAAAATTTGTTATAGATTTTAGGTGTTCTTACCATAAACACAGATACAAGGTAACTATGTAGGGTGATGGATATCGTGTTATATATAAAATATAAATAAATTTTTTAAAATAGCAAGCCAAGCTTGAGGTTTCAGGCCTACAAGGCATTTCATTTTATTTTTTTTAAGCATATAAAATCCATCATTTAAAGGATAACCTGAGTAAACAAGGCTATATTTATAAAGCAGAACTCTGGAGAACAGAATTATACAATATAATGATTTTCACTTTTTCTGAAGTTAGAAAATCCTTCTAAATGTTTAAAAATAATCACGAACCTCAGCTCTGCATGCATTACAGGCAAACTACTTTATTATCTACAGCTGCTACAGAAATGCATCAATGCTCACTTGGGTTCCACGGGATTTTTAAAGTTTAGTTAACCAAGAATATGGTTAATACTGGTACTATATGATTCACTGTTCCTATTTTCTCCTATGTATCATATAGATGACTATCTCTTTCATTCCTATTTCAACAGATCATTGTGTAAATTAATTTATCCCATCTCCAATTTTTATTTTCTCCATAATACAATCAAACAAAATCAGAACAGAATGAAAAAAACACATTTTTAAATTGATAAGGAGATTGACACAATGCTCATCTGATTGTGTGAATAATCTGTATAACATACACATATAAGAATACTCATGATGGGTTGAAAAATACAATTCTCTATTCCCTCTATCCCTTTTCTACTTGACTTTCAGAAAAATGTAGGTAACAGAGAACAGAAGGTATATAGTATACAAATGTTTTCCACTAAGACTAATGAAAAAATAAGACTCTGGATGGAGACTGTATCACTGATAATTGTGAAAGGAAAACAAATCCTAAGAATTAAATGCAATTCATGATTAAGAACAGTTATAGAACTCTGATGTCATTCAATATTTGAAGTTATTTTACAATGTTTATCCAGAATCACATCTCCTTATTTTAAAATTGTATAGAAAATTTCTGGACTTCCATTTTTTTGAATAGGTGACAGAAAACTTGATTTGGAGGTAACAATACAAGCATACCTTGTTTTACTGAGCTTTGCTTTACTGTGCTTCGTAAATACTATGAATTTTACAAATTTAAGGTTTGTGAAAACACCACGTTGAGAAAATCAGCACCATTTTTCCAACAGCACATGCTCACTTTGTGTCTCTGTCACATTTTGGTAATTCTTAACAATAATCTGTTATGGCGATCTGTAGTCTTTGATGGTAATATTTTGACTGTTTTGGGACATTGGGACACCACAAACCATGCCCATGTAAGAGCAAACATAATTGATAAATAGTGTATCCTGATTGCTCCAATTTAGCTATTCTTTCTTCCTCTCCTCAGGCCTCCTTAGTCTCAGACATAACAATATTGAAACTAGGCCAATTAATAACCCTACAATAGTTGCTAAGTGTTCAAGTGAAAGGAAGAGTTGCATGACTCTCACTAATCAAAACTTAAGAAATGAGTAAGCTTACTGAGGAAAGCATGTTTCAAGCTGAGACAGACTAAAAGCTAGGCCTCTTGCACCAGTTAGCCAAGCTGCAAATGTAAAGGAAAAATTCTTGAAGGAAATCCAAAGTGTTACTCCAGTGAACACATGAATGATGAGAATGCCAAGCAGCCTTATTGCTGACAGGAAGAAAGTTGCACGGTCTTGACAGAGGATAAAACCAGTTATGACATTCCCTTAAGCCAAGATCTCATTCAGAGACAGGTCCTAAAACTCTTTAATTCAATAAAGGCTGCAAGAGGTGAGGAAGCTGCAAAAGAAAGTTTTAAGGTGGCAGAGGTTGGTCCATGAGATTTATGGAAAGAAGCCATCCATTCTGCAGTCTCCACAATATAAAAGTGCAAGGTGAGGCACCAAGTGCTGATGTAGAAGCTACAGTAAGTTAATCATAAGATCTAGCTAAGATCATTGACGAAGGTGGCACACTAAACAACACATTTTCAGTGTAGATTGCTCAGACTTCTATTGGAAGATGATGCTATCTAGAAATTTCAGAGAAGACAATGCATGGCTTCAAATCCGCAAAGGACAGACTGACTCTTACTAGGGACTAATGCACCTGGTGACCTGAAGTTGAAGTCAATGCTCACTGACCATTCCAAATATCCTACGGCCCTTAAGAATTATGCTAAATCTACTCTGCTTTTGTGTTCTATAAGTGAAAACAAAGCCTGGATGACAGCACGTCTACTTACAGTATATTTTGGTAAATGCTTTAAGCCCACTTTTGAGACCCACTGCTCAGAAAATAAAGGATTTTAAAATATTACTGCTCACTGACAAATATAACTGGTCACCCAAGAGCTCTCATAGAAATACATATGGAGATTAAGGTAATTTTCATGCCCACTAACACAACATTTATTCTGCAGCCCATGAATCAAGAAGTTATTCTGATTCTCATGTCTTTATTTTTTTCTTTTGGTAGCAACAGGGTCTTACCCTGTGGCCCAGGGTGGTCTTGAACTCCAAGCCTCGAGTGATCCTCCCACACCTGAAGGCCCTGGATCAGGTTTTACATAATCTGGGAGTTAAGTCTGTTCAAGCATCTTATAATATACACTCAGCTTCTCAGTGTTGGTATTATAGGTGCATGTCCTCAAGTCTTATTTAAGAAATACATTATGTGGCTGGGTGCAGTGGCTCATGCTGTAATCTCAGCACTTTGGGAGGCTGAGGCAGGTGGATCACTTATGGTCAGCAGTTCAAGACCAGTCTGGAAAACATAGTGACCCGTCTCTACAAAAAATAGAAAATTTAGCTGGGCATAGTGGCACATGCCTGTAGTCCCAGCTATTGGGAGGCTGAAGCAGGAGAATTGGTTGAACCCGGGAGCTAGACGTTGCAGTGAGCTGCGATCATGCCACTGCACTCCAGCCTAAGCAACAGAGTGAGACTGCATCTCAAAAAAAGAAAAAAAAAGAAAAAGAAAAAAACCCAGAAAACATAAGGCTACTTTAATAGCCGCCATACATCATGTTTCCTCTGACGGATCTGGGCAAAGTAAAGTAAAAAACTTCTAGAAAGGATTCATTATTCTAGTTGCCTTTAAGAACCTTAGTGATTCATGGGAGAAGATAAAAATATCAACATTAACAGGAGTTAGGAATAAGTTGATTCCAACCTTTAGGGATGACCTGGAGTAATTCAAGACTTCAGTGGAGAAGGAACTACAGATGTGGTAGAAACAACAAGAGAACTGGAATTAGAAGTAGAGCCTGAAGATTTGACTGAATTGCTGCAATTTTATGATCAAACTTGAATGGATGAACAGTTGCTTCTTATGGATGAGCACAGAAAAGTAGTTTCTTGAGATAGAAATTACTCCTGGTGAAGATGCTGTGATCATTGTTGAGGTGACAACAAATAATTTAGAATATTCCATAAACTTAGGCGATACAGCAGCTACAGGCTTTGAGAGGACTGACTCCAATTCTGAAAGAAGTTCTATTGTAGGTAAAATGCTATCAAATTATCATTGCATGCTATGGAGAAATCTTTCATTAGAAAAGAATCAATCAATGCAAACTTCATTGTCATCTTATTTTAAGATATTGCCACAACTATCCCAACCTTCAGCAACCACAACCCCAGTGGCCATCAACTTCTCCACGAGCAAAAAGATTATGACTCTTGTAGGCTCAGATGATTAACATTTTTAGCAATAAAGTATTCTTTAATTAAGGTATATATATTGTTTTCTAAAACATAATACTACTGCACAATTAGATTACAGTATTTATAGTCAAAACTCTTATATGCACTGGAAAACTTTTAAAGAAGTGTATGGCTTGGCTTATTGATATTTGCTTTATTGCAATAGTCTGGAACTGACCCTACAATTTATACTATACTTCAGAGTATAAATCTCTGTTCAATCCTTAATAAAATGAATGTAAAGCAAGAATTTTTAAGAATGTAACTAAATGTCTTTTATACCTTTGCTACTCAAAGCACAGCCCACAAACCAAGTAGCATCAGCATCACCTGCAAGCTTATTAGAAATTCACAAGCCCCACCACAGCTCTTCTGATCAGAATCCTCAAGTGATGTGGATGTGGTAGTCACACGTTAAGTAGCAAGATTCTAGACCAATGTCAAATGGTTCACCAAATCACAGAGCTATTTTTCTGCTGCAAAAATATCCAGCAACACAGACTGCCATGTAGCGCCAACAAGAAGAACACAGGCTCAGGTCATGCCTGAGATCATATAAACCCTGGCTATTCCTCTTATTGTGTGATGTTAGGCATGTTATATGATCACATGCCTTAGTTTCATCATTTGTAGAATGGGGGTAAATAGGTGTATCTCATAAGAATGAGATAAAAGTTTAAACATTATATGGGAAATGCTTACAATTAGTACCTGGCACACCATAGGTAATCAGAAAATGTTCACTATCATTCTTATTTTTGGTATTAAGTTCAGTTGCTATGAAGACGTGAATAGTTGGAAAGAACAAAAAAGAAATTCATGATAAGACTAAAACTGAATTATGCCAGGTAAAAATATCTTTTTTAAACCAAAATATTTTGATAAATATTAGAAATAGGTAAAAAGCACTTATGCACAAGCAGAATAAATTTTAAGCATTCCAATGGCTCCACTGTTTTACTGTGCAATTTTACAGTATATTAAATAGCATACTTTTATCTTACCAGTCGTTTGCTATAAAGTAATGCTGTACTACTGCCACTGGAAACTGCCCATTTAGAAAAATGCATGACATGCTCCAATTGTTTAGAAAGTCCAGCCACTTCCTGTTGTTGTTGCATAAGTTTCATGCGATGGTCCTTTGCAAGGCTCTGAAAACAATAATTTCAAAATTAGTATCAGCATATAACATATACTTTAATGGTCATTTCCAGGTAAACAAATTAGAATAACTACAATCGCTAAGCACTCAATTTACTGCAACTAAAAATACTCTTAGTGTTTTCCTTGTTACAAAGGATCACTTTCACTACAACAAAAGCTGCACCACAAATGTGACCCCTCACCCCTGAAGGCCCTGGATCAGGTTTTACATACTCTGGGAGTTAAGTCTGTTCAATCATCTTACAATACCCAAAAAAGATGGATTAGCTATAATACAGTAAATGCCTATGAAATTCAACACTCAACAAATAAGAAAGAAGTACGGTCCAGCAAACTAGCAAAGTAACTCAATCACATAATCATATAATTTCACCTTTTAGAGATTCTACTTAATAGCTGCAATTGCAAGTAGTTTGTGCAACACACAGAGTCATGGTGTGTTGTAGATGACACTTATCCTATGTATGTGGTAATTTTTTCAAAAAGCATATTATTTCTGTCTATTGAGAATTAACATGGGAGCCAACAGATAAACTGAATGACTGTGCCAATGCACTCTTAAGAAAAGCTACATTAAAGAATATAGATTTCGCTAAGGAGAGTATGTATGTACTTTCCTTAGAGAAGACAGGATAATCAAAAGTAGAGCACACTGAACTTGGGTTATTTTAAAGGTTCCTATCCAAAAGCCTCATCCTAGACCTAGCAAGGAAAAGGGAGGGAGGGGCACAGGACTTTCTATTATCTCAGACAAATTAGAGAAATTTTAAAGCAAAATTGCTATACTACTACATGGACTTATATATTCTCAATAAAAAGTGGACTCAGATTCTGGCCCTAGTCAGTTCCAGATTTAGAAAATACATATGAACTACACTGAATTAAGAGGGAAATTGCAGTTGTCTATTTGAGGTACTGACAACAGCCAATGGCTCTGCCATATCTAGTTTAAGTTAGAGACAGTAATTTGCCTATTAGGCTATTTTTGACCTCTGTAAAAATTTAGTAAGTGTTTCTCTGGAAACATTGTAGTAGGAATGGAAATTCCATTTACTTTCAAGAAGTTCGAGAATTAAGAATTAGAAGCCCTGGTTTTTTGGTCTTCTATGCTAATTTCTATTCCTTACGAGTCTTAACAGATAAAAAGGGGTTATGTTTATTTGCCTTTAAAAGGGACTCCAACTAGCCTGGGCAACACAGCAAGACCACATCTCTTAAAAAAAAAAAAATTAGCCAGGAGGAGTGGCAAGTGCCTTGTAGTCCTAGCTTCTCAGAAGGCTCTGTCACGAGGATTGCATGTAGTCCCAGCTTCCTGGGAGTCTGAGGCTGCAGTGGGCCAGGCCATGCCACAGCACTTGAGCCTGGGTGATAGACTGAGACCTTGTCTCTAAAAAGTAAAATAAGAAAATTCACTAGAGTGAGACTTCACCTCTATAAAAATAAAAAATTAGTTCAGTGTGGTTGCATAGCTACTCAGGAGGCTGAGGTGGGAAGATTGCTTGAACCTGGGAAGTAAAGGCTGCAGTGAATACACCACTGCTGCATTCAAGCTTGGACAACAAAGAGAGACACTGTCCCAAAAAAAAAAAAAAAAAGGCGAGGTTGGGTAGCTCACGCCTGTAATCTCAGTACTTTGGGAGGCAGAGGCGGGCAGACTGCCTGAGCCCAGGAGTTTTAAGACTAGCCTGAGCCAACGTATCAAAATCCCATCTCTTAAAAAAAAAAAATTGCCAGGCATGGTGGCATGCATTTGTAGTCCTATTTACTCGAGAGACTGAGAGGATCACTTGAGCCCAGGAGGTGGAGGCTGCGGTGAGCTGTGATTCATGCTATTGCACTTCCACCTGGAAAAGGACCAGGTTCATTCTTACAGATTCATGAGTCTGGTAATCTTCTTTGTAAAGCTCTTCAAGTGATTCTGATGTACCGTAAAGTTTGAAAACACAAAAATAGTAATGTATGCACTACTAATCTCTGGGAAAGCAAATCAAAGTGATATTTGATTTTAAACAGTTTTGGAAACTCAAATTCTACTTGAATTATTATTTTTTTAAAGACACAGATATTGAACAAATAATCACTATAAATGGGGTCTGATTCTTCCTGCCCAGAATACTTCCTCACTAAGTAACTACGTTTCCAAAACAACAGAATTACTTTAGTCTTTGTTTCCTGTATAGCTGATGATAATACACAGGAATGATCATGCTTTCCCAGAAGGGATAGAACTTTCTGACAGAAACCCTAAAATTTGGTCAACTATGACATAAAGAGGATAACCTATATTATTTCTAGAAGTCTTATTTTTCCCCAAATCTTCAATCATTAGGATTCTTTTTTTTTAATGCTTTACTGTATCAATATTCTTTCTTTCTATGTCAACATACTAAAGGAATACCTAAAGATCACACAATTAATATTACACATTAATGTACCATGTAGGTGTTAGAACCTCATGTTATTTAAAGTCAAACACCAACTTTGGATCTTGACCTTTGTGAGTTTTAAAAAGCTGAGGAAGATAGTAATTTTTTTTTACCTGCAGTAAGAAGCATCTAAGTGCTTTGAGCATGACTCTAAATGCTGCTTTCACAATTAGAATTATAAAATGTTGACAACAGGGCTAGCCAAATTCTTTTACTTAACTTCTCACTGGGTTAAATATATATATTTGAGAACAAAATCGAACAGTGTATCTTTCTAGAAAATTTTGTTCCACTAAACCGCTTTGGTGATGCAAAGATCTATTTAATATTCAGAGATCCTCCTATATGCAAGGCATTACAATTTGTGCTATCAGTTGTCAGACATTTATAGCATATTACTAAGCTATAAACTGTCAGCTACGATATAAAACCCAGCAAAGGGCCAGGTGCAGTGGCTTACGCCTGTAATCCCAGCACTTTGGGAGGCAGGTGGATCACGAGGTCAAGAGATCGAGACCATCCTGGTCAACATGGTAAAACCCCGTCTCTACTAAAAATACAAAATATTTGCTGGACATGGTGGTGCGTGCCTGTAATCCCAGCTACTCAGGAGGCTGAGGCAGGAGAATTGCCTGAACCCAGGAGGCGGAGGTTGCAGTGAGCCGAGATCGCGCCATTGCACTCCAGCCTGGGTAATAAGAGCGAAACTCCATCTCAAAAAAAAAAAAAAAAAAAAAAAAAAACCCAGCAAAGGAAAATTTGGGAGTGGGCAAAAAAATTATTAAATCACAAATGAAACAATTATATAAAAAGCACTATGATTTCTAATTCACAGTATTTTAGGAAATACTATTTTTTTGTTTTTTGATTTTTTTTTGGGGGGGGAGGGCACAATTTGACCTTTCAATGTTATCCAAGGAAATACTATGTTGAATCAATATAAGATACTATCCCATGGGCAATCACTTACCTCTAACTGATGCAGTAGAGCTTTTCCTTTTTTATTTATTTCTACCATCAATGTAAATATAGCAACTTTAATATCCTGTTCCACCTGCTTTTGATTTTGATTTACTTCAAAAATTCTGAAAATTAAAAGGGGGAAAAACATAAGGCAGATTTTTTGTATATTATTTAAAATTGATGTTTTAATGTCTAAATTAGATCTAAATTAGATCAAAAAACATAAGGCAAATTTTTTGTATATTATTTAAAATTGATGTTTTAATGTCTAAATTAGATCAAAAGCCCTTCTAAGGGCTTTCAGCCCTTAGAAGCTCTATTTCTGAGTCCTTCAGTTTAAGCTGACTGTCTTGAAGATGAGACAGCAGAAATATAATTCTTCTAAAAGATAGCACCACTTAATCTTAAAATTAAATCTTGAACCTTAAATCTTAAAAAATATATGCAGTTAGAAGAGAATGAGTACATTTTAAGAAAGTATGGTTTAGAAAAATTATGGTGATACCCGGGAAAATCAATGCTCTACCTAAAAGGATGGGGGTTGGGGGTGGAGGTGGACTAAAAAGGATTTATAAACCATGATTCTGAACAAGTTCTACTATATTAATTGCAATCAAAAGCTAGAAAAGTGTATATGTGATACTCTTTTCTTAGTAATCTTAACTGTTGCAGTATTCATACACCTAAATAGAAAAAGACAAAAATAGTAGTTTGCTACTTAAACCCATTCTTCATAAGATTAGCAGCCAAATAACTATGTTTCAGCAGCCACATACTTTTCTTACAGAAAGAAAAACATATGGTCCACACCAGAGTATCTTATAGAAAATAACAGAGCATCCACCAAACTTTGTGAGATTAAATTAAAAGCTTCATTTCTTCTGTAAGCTTCTCCCATAGTTACCCTCCAAAACTTAAGACCAAAATGGCAGAAACTTGATTTCCTGCTGGAAAAGACAATTGTTTGATATCAATGTTACTACAGGATCCAGGGAACCGGATAAGCCCGAGAAGAAACCAATTTCAAAAACTCATTTAAATATTCATGATGGTAGAATAGGATGAATAAGGGAAAAACAGTGCCATGGAGGCAAATGCATAAAATATAACCCTTTTATAATTAGATAGACTATACAGATATATAAGCAATTTGCACTTCACAAAGATTCTTTGATTTTTGCCTCAATTCAGAAATCAAAATTGTTCTACACTGTTATTATTTTGTAGAAGAAGAAATGCACAAATCACTTTACAAAAATAAAAGATAAAAGAACAAATCTGAAGAACATTATCTGATTTTAAGAGTTACTATAAAAAGCTACAATGATTAAGATCATGAAAGTGGAGTACTGGCAAAGAGAAAAACACAGTGGAGCAGATTAATAATCCCAAACATATATGGTCTATAAAGGTGTTGAAAACAATTCAACAGAGAAATAAAATAGCTTTTCCAAAAAATGATAGTGGAAGAAATGGACATCCATATGTTTAAAAAAAAAAAAAAAAAAAAAGAAAACTTTGACCATAACTCAAACCATATATTCAGTGAAAGAGTAAGAAAAAAGTCAAAGGGATACATTTCATTAAGGGCAGATCTTTAATTTAAAATTAATTATTATACAATTGCTACCTTTTGCCACTAAATGGTAGAAATGCCTATATTTATCTCTCTTCATTCATTTGATAAATATTCATTACAAATTTCCAATTACTCAGAATCAAAAAATGTTAAACCCACAAATTATTCTACTTGGGAAAATATACTATTCTAATTAGAATATGGTAAATAAAGGAAACAGTATTTAATTAACTACAGTTGTGTCAAAGAGAAAAGTAAAAACAGGGCCTGGCATAGTGGCTCATGTCTGTAATCCCAGGGCTCTGGGAGGCCGAGGTGGCTTATCACCTGAAGTCAGTAGTTAGAGACCAGCCTAGCCAACATGGTGAAACCCCATCTCTACTAAAAATACAAAAAATAGCTGGGCATGGTGGTGGGCACTTGTAATCCCAGCTACCCAGGAGGCTAAGGCAGGTTAATTGCTTGAACCCAGAAGGCAGAGGTTGTAGTGAGCCAACATTGCATCACTGCACTCCAGCCTGGGTGACAGCGGGACTCCGTCTCCCAAAAAAAAAAAAAGGGGGAGGGGGGGAGCGTGGTACAAACAAATGAGAGCTGATAAGGAAGAATGAGAAAAACTAAAAGACACGTAACACAATAATAAATAGATTTAATAATGATGCTGGGGCATCAATAAATGGTAAAAAACTATGTTTAAAAGCCGGGCACAGTGGCTCATGCCTCTAATCACAGCACTTTGGGAGGCTGAGGTGGATGGATCACCTGAGGTCAGCAGTTCAAGACCAGCCTGACCAACATGGAGAAACCCCATCTCTACTAACTATACAAAATTAGCTGAGGTCTGGTGGCACATGCCTGTAATACCAGCTACTTGGGAGGCTGAGGCAGGAGAATTGCTTGAACCTGGGAGGTGGAAGCTGCGGTGAGTCAAGATGGTGCCATTGCACTCTAGCCTGAGCAACAAAGCAAAACTCCATCTCAAAAAAAAAAAAAAAAGATAATAATAATAATGTTTAAAAATCTCTTTTAAGGAAATTAAGTAATACGGGAAATTAATTACCTTTAAAAAATTCCCAAATGTTCCACCCCCAGCTATGTTCCAAAATGTCAGTAACAGATTATAATGATTTCCTTAAAGGCTGACACGATTTATACAAGGAACATTTAAATTCTCTGTGAGGTCTTTTGCTCTGGCATATTCTAATAAACATTCCTTGACTTATTTAGGCAGTGACATTACTTTTGCATGTAAAACAATAGGTCATGACATTTCATAGGTGTGTAAATTAAGTATCAGTATGTGCCCTAAATGGGATTTGGACAACATCTCCACCTGCCCCTACTCCAAGGAGGTTAGTGGTTTTCTCCCCAATCATTGATGTCTAAGATATGAAACTTTGGACAGGCGATGATTTCCTTACCAGGATAAAAGGCATAACAAGTAATTGTTTAAGCATTTTATCAGACAAGGAGTAAAAGGTGTGTGAACAGTTTAACAATCCCTGTCTCCTGGTGTCTTAAAATTTCTACCACTTTGCAGTTAAAAAAAAAAAAAAAAAAAAAAAAATCACAGCATAAGGAAGGCATCTCAAATTTTAGCAAACCTAAAAATAACAATTAAGGGTTCACTCAAGTGTTAGAACATTTACATTACTGGCAAAAAATGGTTGATTTTGCATTTAAATCTTGGGATTTCCTTAACATTGGAAAATAAGTGACAATAAGTTATCAATACCTACTAAATAAATGAGCTATTATAATCCTAAGTGTAGTTTATTATCATATTAGTTTTGAAATTTTACAGCAGAAAAGAATGCTTTCCAACCAAGTTTTTGGGAAAGTCTTATGAACAACGTGTTATTGCAGTCATCTGAAAATTTACTACTTAACTGTGAGTTAAGGAAAATGGTCTGTTCTAAAAGCAAATAACAAGTTATGCTAAAATGATTATATAATACGATAAAATTACCTGTTTTGGATCTGATTTCCTGTGAATTTTATGTATTTTGTTTTTTCCATCAGTTTGGTGATTAGTGTATCTATGATCACTTTCTGATTCTGAAAAGCTTCTTCTATAAATTGATATCTGAAGAAATAAGCAAATTATTTCACACAAAAATATACAATGAGGCAAAGTCTAAGAATAAAGAAATGACTGATAAAAATGCAATAGGATTAAAAAGAATTCATGTAATAATCTTTTAAAACACCAAATGTATCCCTAATAAGGCAAATTTTCCCCACCTCTTAAATTATCCCTCAAGAAAGATTATGGACACGTAAATATTTTGAAAGTTTGAGAACCACATGCATCCAACATACAGTTTTATAAGCTTACAAAGTTCACTTTCACTTGAATTCCCTTTTATTTCTAGTCTGCTAAGATGTTATATCATGAACGCATATTTCATTTTTATGGAATATTTCTACTGCTTCTATTGAGATAATCATATACTTTTTCCTTTATTCTTTTAACATGACATGAAAGATTTTAGCATCAATGATTTTGACATGTTAAATGAATTTTGTATCCCTAAAATGAGGCCAAATTGGTTTAATTACAACTGTCCCAAAATGACAATACCATGAGATTTAAGGCAAGTCTTCCCTTCCTCTAAAATCATCTGTTTTCTTATTTTCTGCTTCTTGCAATTTTTACATTCATTTCATGGATAAGACTGGTCTGTAATTTTCCACTTCTATTCATTGTCAGTTTTTGGTGTAAAGGTTATGCTGGCTTCATATAACGAGTTGGAAAGAATTCAGTTTTTTGCCATTCTCTGGACAAGTCTGTATAAGAAAGGGACTACTGTTACCTTAAGTACGTGGTATATTCATCAGTGTCATTTGTATGTGTAATTCCATCCCCCCCACCCCCATTGTTTTTTTGAGACGGAGTTTCACTCCTGTTGCCCAGGCTGGAGTGCGATGGTGCAATCTCAGCTTACCGCAAGCTCCACCTCCCAGGTTCAAGTGATTCTCCTGCCTCAGCCTCCAGAGTAGCTGGGATTACAGGCATGGGCCAGCAGCCCAGCTAATTTTGTATTGTTAGTACAGACAGGGTTTCTCCTTGTTGGTCAGGCTGGTCTCAAACTCCCAACCTCAGGTGATCGTCCGCCTCAGCCTCCCAATGTGCTGGGATTACAGCCACTGCACCTGGCCTGTATGTGTAATTTTCTTTGTGATAAGGTTTTAAATTATGAATGAACATTAAAAGACTATTCTGATTTTCTACTGTATTTTGCATAAGTTTTGGAAAAAAGTTGCATTTTCTAAGAGTTTTCCCATATCATGTACACATTTTCTTACTATTTAGAGATATCCTTTATCTTTGAAAATGCATTTAAAATACGTAATAATGCCACCTTCCTACTCCTTGGCAGTGGTTATTTGGGCCTGCTCTCTCAATCACTCATACAGAGAATTGTTGATTTTTCTAGTCATTTTGGCTTTGACTATTTCTATACCTGTCTTTTTTATGTTTCTTTTAAAACCCATTTGCTTTGGGTTTAATTTGCTACTTTTCCTAAACTGCAATAAATGTTTAGTGAATTGACTTTATCCTTTACATAATACAAATGCCTTTAATAATATAAATTGTCTTCCAAATATGGCTTTACTTATTAAAAAAGAAAAACCTCAAGGCTTGATTGATATCTTCACTATTATTCAGATCAAAATGTTTTCTACTATCTATTGAAATTTCTTCTTGATTATTTAGATGTATTTAACTGATTATTTTTAAATAATTTCAAAGTTAAATTTAAATCTGTAACTTTTTTTTACAATACTGTAACCTATAGACCATGTTTTTTAATTGTATCATTTGTCTAAACAATGTCTTTTAAATAACTTTGTTCTTTAATCTAGGATATAATTCCAGGATTGTGCATCAGTACACTTAGTTATCACAAGAATTTCATTTCCAAATATATAGTATCTTTCAATCTTTTCAAATTTAAGACTTTAGCATATGGTCAGTTAAAACTAGTTTATTGTATGCTTGTAAAGAATGTGTATTTTGGGGTACAGTGTTCCATAATGTCCATAAAACACTATGCTATGTTACTCGATTTTTTTTTTTTTTTTTTTTTGAGACGGAGTTTCACTCTTTGTCACCTATGCTGGAGTGCAATGACGTGATCTTGGCTCACCGCAACCTCCACCTCCCAGGTTCAGGCGATTCTCCTACCTCAGCCTCCTGGGTAGCTGGGATTACAGACGTGAGCCACCACGCCCGGCCCTTATTTCACCATCTTTACTGATTTTTCAGTCTGCTTGTTTTGTTCTTTATTTATTTATTACAGATAGGTCTTACTCCCACCTCAGTTTCCTGAGTAGCTAGGCAGCTAGCACGTACAGGTGCCTGCCACACTGCTCGGCTTCAATTATTGCATGAAGTGGTAACACTATGCCTATGGAGCTTTCTATTAGTTTGAAGTTCTGTCTTTTTTTTTTTTTTTTAATTAATAATCTGTATAAATTTACAACGCATATCTTTAAAGATGAAGAGAGCCTTTTCATCCTTACAAAGTGTCCCTCTTTGCCTCAGGTAATGGATTTTGTCTACTATGCAATCTTGCCTTTGGTTAGTATTTACATGGCGTGTCTCTTCCCATTAACTCTTTTATATATGGAGTTTTTAGATATATCTCACAAAAAGAAAATAGCACATATTTGTATTTTCCTTCTTACCCAGTCCGAAACCTGTCTTATAATTTGGAACATTTTGTCTGTTTACATTTATTTATTTATTTATTTTTTGAGACGGAGTTTCGCTCTTGTTACCCAGGCTGGAGTGCAATGGCGCGATCTCGGCTCACTGCAACCTCCGCCTCCTGGGTTCAGGCAATTCTCCTGCCTCAGCCTCCTGAGTAGCTGGGATTACAGGCACGCGCCACCATGCCCAGCTAATTTTTTGTATTTTTAGTAGAGACGGGGTTTCACCATGTTGACCAGGATGGTCTCGATCTCTTGACCTCGTGATCCACCCGCCTCGGCCTCCCAAAGTGCTGAGATTACAGGCTTGAGCCACCGCGCCCAGCCGTTTACATTTAGTATAATTATGGTATATTTGTAGATATACCAACTTACCAAGGCCTCATTACATTCTATCTGTTGTTTATTTCTTTTTCTCACTTTTTGGTCTTTGTTTACACTGATTATTCCACATTCCCACACTGCCCACACCTTCGTAATTGTATACACTTACTATTCTTTTGGTGACTACTCTAGACATTACAAAAACAAATTTTTACATGTCATCATTTAATATCTATACTTTTCATGCTCTTCCATGCATGGACCTTAGAACATAAATTCCATACCCTTTTAGCACATTTGCTGCTATGTGATATACACATACACACAGCACACCAACAAGATATTATTGTTTCCTAAGTCAACATTCATTTAGATTTACTCATACCTATTATTTTAATTGCTCTGTATTCCTTTCTTTATCTCCTATTTTTCTCCTGCTAAAAGGTACTTTAAGTGAGACTTTACCAGGGATATGCTTTCCCAGTTTATTTTGTCTGAAATGTTTTTATCTACCTTCATATTTAAAGAATACGCAAGCCAGGAGTGGTAGCTCATGCCTGTAATCCCAGCACTTTGGGAGGCCAAGGTGGGCGGATCACCTGAGTTCAGGAATTCGAGACCAGCCCGGCCAACATGGTGAAATCCCGTCTCTACTAAAAATATAAAAATTAGCCAAGCATGGTGGCACACGCCTGTAATCCCAGCTACTCAGGAGGCTGAGGCAGGAGAATGGCTTGAACCTGGGAGGCAGAGAGTGCAGTGACCTGAGATCACACCATTGTACTCCAGCCTGGGCAACAAGTGAGACTATGTCTCAAAAAATATACATATGCTTACTAGGTACAGAATTTTAGATTTGAAAGTTACTTTATTTTTAATTTTTAATATTTAAAAATATTACTTTCTTAATTATCCTGGTTGGGGTTTGTGCAACTTCTTCAATATGGGCTTAATGTCTCATCAGCTTCTGAAAGTTCTTTGCCATTATATTCTGTCTTCAACTATTGCTTCCTTCCCCTTTTCTGTACTTTCCATCCTTCTTGGACTGTAATTACATCCATGTCTCTTCTACTTTTCATCCTCCTCTTGTTTATCATGCTTCTTTATGGATATTTTCTTAATTTTCTTCTAGGTCATTAATTCTCATTTCATGCTAGCCAAATCTGTTTTTAAGCCCTTCTACTGAGTTAATTTTAGTTATTGTAATTTTCAGGGTTTTTTATTTCTTTTTTAAAACACAAGATCTCATTCTGTCACCTGGACTAGAATGCAGTGGTGCTATCACTGCAGCCTTGAACTCCTGGGCTCAAGCAATTCTCCTGCCTCAGTCTCCCAAGTAGGTAGGAATACAAGCACACACCACTGTGCCTAATTTAATTTTCTGTGAGGATGGGGTCTCACTATGTTCACATTGTCTAATCTCCTAACAAACCTGGTTATTTCTAATTCTGTGAATATCGCTTTTGCAAACTTCATTACTGAATAAGTTAGAGGCCTAGGATGTTTTCTTTGTCTTTCTGGTAAGGATTTACATTTGATTTTACCAGGAAACTTGAGAAACCAGATATGATTTCACTTTAATCCAATTTTAGGTGCAGAGCTTTAGTCCCTGTGAGGAAATACTTACTAGCTAATTACCTTTACTGTAATAGTGTAGACTTTCAGGGTCCCAACTCAAGACAAGAAGCAGCATTCACCATGCATGATCCTTACACTCTAAGCTATGATTTCTCAGCCCTGTGAGGCTAATAAATGTTCTCCTCTATCTCTAGAAATACCTCAAGGGGAGAAAAAAGCTCCTATCATTCTTTGCCCCCACTCCAACCCAATACTGTCCAATACTGCTTTACTATTTTATTAGTTCTAGCATTTCATATAGACAATTTCTGTATTTTGTCCAAGTTTTCTAGTCATTCTCACTGTTGGTCCAAATTATCTAGTCTGCCATTATCAGGAGCCTGGACCATTATAAGCAATTATATTTGTATCAATCTGAATCTTACCCATATAAATTACCTGTTGCTGACCTGAATGTCTATTGAGATCAGATTTTAAAGTAAGTTTTATGCCGGGCACGGTGGCTCACGCCTGTAATCTTAGCACCTTAGGAGGCCAACGCGGGAGGATCACTTGACGTCACGAGTTTAAGACCAGCCTGGGCAACATGGTAAAACCCCGTCTCTACTAAAATACAAAAAATTAGCCAGGCATGGTGTGGCGGGTGCCTGTAATCCCAGCTACTTGGGAGGCTGAGACAAGAGAATCATTTGAACCCTGGAGGCAGAGTTTGCAGTGAGCCGAGATCGTGCCGCTGCTCTCCAGCCTGGGCGACAGAGTGAGACTCTGTCTCAAAAAATAAAATAAAATATAAAATAAAATAAAGATCAGAACATTTGCTGGGCGTGGTGGCTCATGCCTGTAATCCCAGCACTTTGGGAGGCCGAGGAGGATGAATCACCTGACGTCAGGAGTTCAAGACCAGCCTGGGCAACATGGTGAAACCCCATCTCTAAAAAAAAATTTAAAAAAAAATAAATGAAAGTAAGCTTTGCTAGGAACTATAAGGAACTGGAAAAGGCATGTCTCAAATGTTCACATGAAAGTATACAGACCCAGGGCTAGAAAATCCAGAAATCTAGATATTTTAAAAAATGTAAAATCTCCTCATTTTGCAATGCTGGTAACTAGTTCTATATACTTTAAAACAGTGTGTCGGCCAGTGTCCTCAACTCAGGATGATTTTTCTCCTTAGGCCATTGCCAATGTCTGGAGCTATATTTTAGTTGTCACAACTGGGGAGGGTTAGAGGGTTACTACCAGCATTTAGTTTGTAGAGGTCAAGCATGCTAATCACCATATAATACACAGATCAGTCCCCAACAATAATTATCTAGCCCAAAATGTCAGTAGTGTCAAAACTAGCAAACCCTGGTGTAGGCCAGCATACTGCTGGCCAAACAAACCTATTTAAAGACTGACATTTGACCAGGGTTGGCAGCAGTCCTTTAGTCCTCTAAAGCTGTATATGCATCTATACACAAATCTATATAACCAAAGATGCTGGTACCTATGCTCTTTATGTTCTAATAACTGACAGTCTCGACATGTCAGTTTGTCACATGTCTCACAGTACAGCTTCAACTGCTCCTTTTTATGAAAAGGACAAAACACTGGTCGCTGGCTGGTGACACCAACTGCCTCTGCAGAAACAATGGGAGAAAAAGAGAAGAAAATTAACATAATTGAATGGTAAATAATTATTAGATTGCCCAATTGAATTCACATCTATTGATATAAACACTACAGCTTCACCTATACTATACTGTAACTTTCACTAAGAATTACAGATATTAAGATATCACATATTTTGTCACCGTTTCAGGAAAAAAAATTAACCTTTTCATTTTTTAAGTAGAAATTTAAATTAATTCAAAAGTAAACAAAGGGACTAAGTGTAGTTAAAAATGTGTTTTACTGCATTAAAAAGTCTTAAGACGACAACCCTGGTGAGTATGAACCACCTGGATGTCTTCTATCCCAAATATGAGGAGAATTTTTGAAAATGCAATTAGGAAAATCAAGCTGGGCACAGTGTCCTATGCCTGTAGTCTCAGCTAGTCAGGAAGTTGGGTTGAGAGAATCGCTTGCTTGAGCCCAAGCGTTTTTTGAGTTCAGTCTAGGAACACTGCATGACCTCACAGATAGAGACAGAGAGGCAGAGAAAGAGATGAAAAGAGAGGGAGGAAGAAAGAAAATATAATATAAATGTCTAAAAGGAGAGTCAAATAAATTATTAACCCACTTTTGTTAAAATCCTAACAGAGGATACCCATCAACACAGAAATAATGTTTTCATTATTACACTCTAGTTTTCCAGTGTGGGGTAAAAGTGGAAAATGTTTACATCATAATGTTAAGTGGAAAAATCAGAATATGAATAGTATAATTAAACAGTAAGCCTCAGTTATCTTACTAATAATTAAAGGCAAAATACAAACATTTCAGAAATAATCCTACCTCCAGAGATAATTACTATTAAAAACATGGTGTGGTAACTACTCTGGTTTTTCTAAATATGGAAGTACATATAGTATAGTACTGCATTTTATAAAACAATAAATGGTAGTACATATATTGTCGAGATTTTTTTCTTACTTAACTCTACCTTAGATACCGTTCTATATTAGTAAATGTCCACCTCATTCTTATTAACTGTATAGTATTTCATAAAACAGATATACCACTATACCACTTACAAAGGATATTTATAAGTTATTCATTTTTCAATATTGCAAACAGTGCTGAAATAAACATGAAAATTATAAATCATTTAAATGTTCCCATAAGGTAAATTCCTAGTAGAACAGTTAAGTCAAAGGGTAATTCATATAGAAAAATAATTAATAATTGTGCCAATCTGTACTCCAACCAGTGTAGAGTGGCTATTAACCATATTAACGGGAGGAACTCTCTAAATTTTCATCTTTGACAATTTAATAAATGCAAGATAGTAAAGTATGTACTTTACTATCTTAGAATGCATTTCTTTGATCACTGAGATGAATCAACATTCAGTTATCAGCCATTTGCATTTCTTTTTTATAATGCACAGATCAATCCCCAACAATAAAGATTAGCTCAAAATGTCAACAGTGCTAAAACTGACAAAACTAATCTATATGCAGACCGCCAGTAGGTTTGGTTTGGCTAGCAGTATGCTGGCCTATACCAGGCGTGGTGGCTCACACCTGTAATCCCAGCACTTTAGGAGCCTGAGGTGGGTGGATCACCTGAGGTTAGGAGTTCGAGACCAACCTGGCCAACATGGTGAAACCCTGTCTCTACCAAAAATACAAAAATTAGCCAGGCATGTAATCCCAGACACTCAGGAGGCTAACAGGAGAATCGTTTGAACATGGAAGGTAGAAGTTGCAGTGAGCCAAGACTGTACCACTGTACTCCAGCCTGGGTCACGAAGTGAGAGTCTGTCTCACAAAAAAGAAAAAAAAAAAAATCCTAAGGTAACCTGAGAGGAATTACAGATAAAATTAACGAACTAAAAAATATAAAACAGACAAATTCAAGAGCTACTTCTGAAGACAGAAATATGTAAACATGTAGAATTCAGAACGAAAATGAAAATAACCAGATAGAGAAAACTGGCAATATATTATAAGAATATTCAAAGCACAGCACATCAAGATGAAATATAGAATTAACTCCAGCAATGCAAAGATGGTTCAATCTTTTTTTTTTTTTTTTTTTTTTTTTGAGACAGGGTCTCAAACTGTCACCCAGGTGCAGTGCAATGACAATGATCACAGCTCACTGCAGCCTCAAGCTCCCTGGTTCAAGCAATCCTCCTACCATCTCACCTCCCAGGCTGTTGAGATTACAAGCATGTACTATCATGCCCAGTGAATTTTCTGATTTTTTGTAGATAAGGTTTCACCATGTTGCCAAGGCTGGTCTAGAACTCCTGGGCTGAAGCAATCATCCCACTTTAGCTTCCCAAAGTACTGGGATTACACCAAATCTTTCACTAGTCTCAAACAAGCAAACAAAAAAAGAAGTTTTGCTACATTTTGATACATGCTATTACATGAGTGAATTCTTAAAATATTATGCTAAGTAAAATAAGTTAGGTATCAAAGGACATCATACTGTATGATTCCACTTATGTGAAATATCTAGAATAAGCAAATTTATAGAGACAGAAAATAAAGGCTGGGCGCAGTGACATATGCTTATAATCCCAGCACTTTAGAAGGCCAAGGCTGGCAGATCACTTGAAGTCAGGAGTTGGAGATCAGCCTGGTCAACATGGTAAAACACCATGTCTACTAAAAATACAAAACTTAGCCAGATGTGGTGGTGCATACCCGTAATCCCAGCTACAGGCAGGAGAACTGCATAAACCCATGTGGCAGAGGTTGTAGTGAGCTGAGATTGTGCCACTACACTACAGCCAGCCTAGGTGATGGAGTAAGACTCCATTTAAAAAAGAAGAAAATAGGGTAGAAGTTACCAGGAGCTAGGTGCTAGGGGAAGAAAATTGGAGTTATTAAAGGGTACAAAAAAAAGATGCTGACCTGGGGTGACGAAAAAGTTTTGAAAATAGTAATGATGGTTGCACAATGTGTAAATGTAATAAATGCCCCTGAATTGTACACTTAAAAAGTTAAAATGACAAATTTTATGTTGCATGTATTTTACCAAACTAAAAAAATGTATTAGTGTACTGCATTAAAAACAAGACAATAAAACCAAAAATAATAATTACATAAAAAAGCCTCTCTGGCTATCCATATAACAGACAAATTTCAAAAAGCAGGTTTACTACAAGAATGTCAAAAGGAAAAAGAGTTATAAAATATTTGAGCCCACTCCTTGTTGTTACCTTAGAGATAAAAGAAAAATAAGAAAAAGCAAATTTTTTCTCCATTTGTTCTATATTCACACCAAATGAAGATATTTATAGAAGCAGAAAGACAGGCAGTATGAATGTAAAACAGGGTTCTACATCTATTCACACTTTCCAACATTTGTTAAGTACTTAAATTTCAATTATAATATAAACCTCTTTTAATTAAGAGTACATTTAATACTTAACAAATGTGTCAAAACAAGTCAATACAGGAAGGAAGACAAGACAGGGGGAAAGACAGAAGAAAAAAAATAAAAAGAGCTCATTTATTACCTGGAGATACTTCCTCTTTCTGTCTGACAGTGTGGTCTTTCGTGAACTTTACCCTCTGATGAGCTCTGATACATGTCTTGCACAGCCATTCAACACACTCTACACAAAAGCCATTAGCTTCTGCGTTGTCCTCACAGCTTGTGCACACCTGACAAGAAAAGAACCACGGCACGTGAATTTTTGACAAAATGAAAAGCTGGTCCTATCACCAGCTTTACGTACATGATACACCAACTATACTGGGCTAAATCAGTTATCTTCCTAACAGTGTTTGGAAATTTTAAACTGACATTGTGTGTTACATTACACACATGTGAAATTAAATTACCGTGAAAAGATAAGAATATAAGTACATTTTCTCCTTAATTCAGTATCCCAAATATTTTAGCTAGGTGTTTATTTCCCAAACATTATGCTAGGCGTGAGAATAAACAGTCAGGAAAAGCAAACATGGTCCAGGCCTTTATGATAACTACAGTCTTGTAGATAGTGGAGGTTCAAATCACAGTTCCCTCGCTTACTAGAGCTCAGTGGCCTTGGGCAGGTTACATAGAGTACTCATCTTTAATATGAGGATATTACTAAGTAGTTGTGATGATTATTATTACTACTCTAACAGTACAGACATTACTAAGTAGCTGTGAAGATTAAATGTGAGGCAGGTGCACATTATTAGAATAAGCATATCAATATCTAACTGTAAACTGATCAATATATAACTACAAACTGAGAAGCACTATAAAGGAAATATATGGAAAGTAATATGAGCATATAATAAAAAATGAATCTCATTTTAGTGGGGTTGGAAGGCTGGGGAAAGCATGAGGAGGGATTACCCAGTGAAGGCTTTTACTTCTAGGAAGAGACAACAACAGCATGTACAAAAGTCCCAGGCAAGAAGAGCAAGAAGGTTCAAAGAACTGAAAGAAGGCAAGTGTGACAGAAGTAGTGCAATCGAGGGGAAGACTGGCAAGAAAAGCTAGGACAAGACAGACAGGGGCCAAATCAAGCAGTCACAGGCCAATTTTGGCCTTTGTCCAAAGAAATCTATTAAAAGCTTTTAAGAAAATGACACGGACAGATTTCCATTTTTATGTCACAATGGCTGCAATGTGGAGAACAAATTAGAAAAGGAGCAAGGGTTTCTCTGTATAATGACAAGCTAGGAGGGTTTTTCAGTGGCTTTGGTGAGAGTTGCTGGAAGTGGTATGTGGAGATGAGAACAGGCTTGACAGTAAACTTCCGCTTCAGTGGTTGACACAAGCCGAATTCCAAATACCTGATTATGTTCATAAACCAAAATCTACCTTTTCTCTGCACTTATCATCTTGAATCTTTCTAACATCACTTGATACCACTGACTCCTGCTTCCTAGAAGCCATGTGAATTCCTTACTACCTGCCAATCCTCCTATCTCCCTGATTTTCCCTGTGGATTCTACCCTTCACCCTCTGATTCTGTAGTTTGTGTTAGATTTATAGGAACGAATCTCATCTACTTCCTTAACCTCACATAGCATCTCTAAAAGGATGTAATCTAAAATTTAATTTCCATCGTAAGCTATAAAAAGAAATAAGTACTTTCTATTTACACCACTTAGGAGAGATTGCTAGTACTAAGTAAAATAAAACAGGAAAAGTGTGTGTGTGTGTGTGTGTGTGTGTGTGTGTGTGTGTGTGTGTGTGTGTGTGATGCTACTGCTTATTCAAGAAAGACGGTGATATGGTTTGGATCTGTGTGCCTGCTCAAATTGCTGAATTGTAATCCCCAATGTTGGAGGTGGAGCCTGCTGGGAGATGGGTGGATCATGGGGGTGGATTTCCTCCTGGTGCTGTTCTCATGATATTGAATTCTCCTGAGACCTGGTTAAATGTGTAGTACCTCCCCTCTCTCTTTTGCTCTTGCTCCTGCCATGTGGATGAGACTGCTTCCTCTTTACCTACTGCCATGATTGTAAGCTGAGCAGATGCCAGCATCATGTTACCTGTACAGCCTGCAGAACCATTAGCCAATTAAACCTTTTTTTTTTGAGATGGAGTCTCGCTCTGTTGTCCAAACTGGAGTGCAGTGTGCGATCGCGGCTCACCACAACCTCTGCCTCCCGGGTTCCAGTGATTTTCCTGCCTCAGCCTCCTGAGTAGGTGGGATTACAGGTACCCGCCATAATGCCTGGCTAATCTTTTTATTTTTAATAGAGATGAAGTTTCTCCATGTTGGTCAGGCTGATCTCAAACTCCCGACATTATGATCCAACCACCTCAGTCTCCTAAAGTGCTGGGATTACAAGTGTGAGCCACTGCACTCAGCCTAAACCTCTTTTCTTTATAAGTCACCCAGTCTCAGATATTTCTTTATAGCAATCTGAGACTGGACTAATACAGAAAATTGGTACCAAGGAGTGGGGTACAGCTATAAAGATACCTAAAAGGCCGGCCGCAGTGGCTCATCCCTCTAATCCCAGCACTTTGGGAGGCCAAGGCAGGCAGATCATGAGGTCTGGAGTTCAAGACCAGCCTGACCAACATGGTGAAACCCCATCCCTACTAAAAATACAAAAATTAGCCAGGCGTAGTGGTGCGTGCCTATAATCCCAATTACTCTGGAGGCTGAGGCAGGAGAATAGCTTGAACCTGGGAGGTGTAAGCTGCAGTGAGCCAAGACTGTGCCATTGCACTCCACTCTGGGTGACAGAGTGAGACTCCCATCTTCCAAAAAAAAACAAAACAAAACAAAAAAAAAAAAACAAAGAAAACCAACCAGATACCTGAAAATGTGGAAGCAGCTCTGGAACTGGGTAACGGGCAGAATTGCAAATGGTTTGGAGGGCACAGAAGAAGGCAAGAAGGTGAGGAAAATTTTGGAACTTCCTAGAAATTTGGTAAATTGTGACCAAAATACTTACAGTAATATGGACAATGAAGTCCAGGTTGAGGAGTCTCAGATGGAAATAGACTTATTGGGAAATGGAGCAAAGGTCCTTTTTGTTTCACCTTGGCAAAGAGCTTAGCTGGACTGTGCCCCTGTCTCTAGGGATCTGTGGAACTCTGAATTTGACAGATGATTTAGAGTATCTGGTGGATGAAATTTCTAAGCAGCAAAGTGTTCAAGATGTGATCTAGCTGCTTCTAACAACCTATGCTCACATGCATGAGCAAAGAAATGACTTAAAGTTGGAACTTAAATATTTCAAAGGGAAGCAGAGCATACAAGTTTGGAAAATTTGCAGCCTGGTCATGTGGTAGAAAAGAAAAGCCCATTTTTAGGGGAGGAATTCAAGCAGGCTGCAGAAATTGGGGATAAGGGAAGGACTTGAAGGTATTTCAGAGACATTCTGAGCAGCCACTCCTGTGACAGGCCCAGAGGCCTAAGAGGATTGAATGGTTTTATGGGCCAGGCCAGCCCAGGCTCAGGACACTGCCCCCTGTGTCCCAGCGTCTCTAGCTCCAGCCATGGCTCAAAGAGGGCCAGATACAGCTCACACCACTGCTTCACAGGGTGCAAGGCATAAACCTTGGCAGCTTCCCTGCAGGTACACAGAACGCAAGAGTTGACACTTGGGAGCCTCTGCCTAGATTTCAGAGGACTTATGGGAAAGCCTGCATGGATGTCCAAGCAGAAGCCTGCTGCAGAGGCAGAGACTTCATGGACAACATCTACTTGGGCAACACAGAGGAGAAAAGTAGGGCTGGAGTACCCACACAGAGTCCCCACTGGGGCCCTCCCAAATGGAGCTGTGAGGAAAGTACCACTGTCCTCCAGACCCCAGAACAGTAGATCCACCAGCAGCTTGCACCTTCAGCCTGGAAAAGTCACAGGCACCCATGAGAGCCCCTCATAAGAGCAGCTGCGGGGGCTGAACCTGCAAAGCCACAGGAGTAGGTACAGCTGCCCAAGGCTCTGGGAGCCCACCCCTTGTACCAGTGGGTCCTGGATGAGAGATGTGAAATTAAAGGAGATTATTTTGGAGCCTTACAGTTTAATGACTGCTGCTGGGTTTTGGACTTGCGCAAGGCCCACAGCCACTTTCTTTTGGCCAATTTCTCCATTTTGGAATGGGAGTATTTACCCAATGCCTGTACCTACATTGTATCTTGGAAGTAACTAACACGTTTTTGACTTTACAGGGTCATAGGCAGAAGGGACTTGCCTATTCCTTCTAATCTCAAATATGAGACTTTGGACTTTTGAGTTAATGCTAAAATGGTTAAGACTCTGAGGAACTTTTGGGAAGGCATGATTGTGTTTTGAAATGTGAGAAGCACATTAGATTTGGGACGCACCAGCGTGGAACAATATGGCTTGGATCTGTGTCCCTGACCAAATTTCATGTAGAACTGCAATCCCCAATGTTGGAGGCAGGACCTGATGGCAGGTGACTGGATCATGCAGGTGGATTTCCCCCTTGGTGCTGTTCTCATGATAATGAGTTCACATGAGATGTGTTCATTTAAAACTATGTGGCACAGCTGTATGCAGTGGCCCATGCCTGTAATCCCAGCACGTTGGGAGGCCAAGGTGGGTGGATCACCTGAGGTCAGGAGTTCGAGACCAGCCTAGCTAACATGGTAAAACCCTGTTTCTACTAAAAATACAAAAAAGTTAGCCAGATGTGGTGGTGCATGCTTGTAATCCCAGCTACTCAGGAGGCTGAGGTAGGAGAACTGCTTGAACCTGGGAGGTGGAGGTTGCAGTGAGCTGAGATCACACCATTGCACTCCAGCTCTGACAACAAGAGCAAAACTCCATCTCAAAAAAAAAGGAAAGGAAAAAGGAAAGGAAAAAGGAAAGGAAAGGAAAGGAAAGAAAGAGAAAAAAGTGTGTGGCACCTCTGACCCTCTCTTTTTGCTCCTGCTCTGGCCACATGTAACATGAACCTGCTGCCCCTCTTCACCTTCTACCATGATTCTAAGTTTCCTGAGGCCTCCCCAGAAGCTAAGCAGATGCCAGCAACATGCTTTCTTTATAAATTACCCAGTCTCAGGTATTTCTTTATAGCAATGCAAAAACAGACTAATACAGATGGGATGGAGTGGGATAACTTGTTTTTTTTGTTTTGTTTTGTTTTGTTCTGAGACGGAGTCTTGCTCTGTCGCCAGGCTGGACTGCAGTGGCGCAATCTCGGCTCACTGCAACCTCCGCCTCCTGGGT